AATATTACTTAACTTTTCTTTAATGCTTGGACCAGAGCAATATTACAGCAGGTAGCGCATTTGCCTTGCAGGAGGCCTGCCTGGGTTTGATCCCCAGCACTTCTAGGAGTAATTTCCTGAGTACAGAGCCAGGAATAAACCCTGAGCATTGCCAAGTGTGTCCCAAACTCTCTTCCCCACAAAAAAATTTTAAGGCTGCAAAGATATATTGTACAGGAATTAAGGGGCTTGCTTTGCATGCAGCCTGCCCCCTACCACACAAAAATTAAAAACCAGAAAACATATTGTTTTATACCTTTATTGGAGTTAGGAGGATTGGCCATCCTAGAAGTACTCAAGGCTCTGTGCTCAGGGATCGTTCCTGTGGTGCTCAGGGAACCATCTGTGTCGCCAGGGGTTCAAAGTGGGGTTGGCTATATGCAAACATCTTATCTCTTATATTATCCCTCTGGCCCCAGTTTAGTTTTTTTCTTTTTTTTTTTGGTTTTTGGGCCACATCTGGCAGTGCTCAGACCTTGCTCCTAGCTCTGTGCTCAGGTATCACTCTTGGCAGGCTCAGGGGACCATCTTAGGGTCAGGGGAGAACCCAGGTAAGCTGCATGCAATGCAAATACCCTATCTGCTGTACTATTGCTCCTGTCTCTCAGCTGTTTTTGAGGGGGACGAGGGGCACACCTGCTTGTGCTCTGAACTTGCTCTTGGCTTGCCCTAGAGATCACTTCTGATGGGCTTGCGGGGGGGACCACATCGGGTGTCAGGGATTGAACCTGGGTCAGGCACATGCAAGGCAAGAATCTTACCCACTGTACTCTCCCTCCAGCCCTCATAGTTTAGTTTTTAATAAAAGAAAATAAGACTATTGATTTTATATCCTTTCATCTTCTGTCTCTTCTACCCTGGCAGTATCTACTATTAATTTATTGTCTATCTTTTTAGTTCATACTTTTAGAAAATGCCCTACCTACTGTATTATGACTCCAGTCCCCCCCCCTTTTTTTTTTTTTTTTTTGCTTTTTGGGTCACACCTGGTAATGCACAGGACTCTGCACTCAGGAATTACTCCTGGTGGTGCTCAGGGGACCATATTGGGTGCTGGGAATTGAACCCGGATTGGTCATGTGTAAAGCAAATGCCTTACTTGCTGTATTATCACTCCAGCCCCTCCAGCACCTTTTATTGTTATTTTTCAATTCTTCCTTTAACATTTTTCTTCTTTTAACATTTTTTTAAATTTCCTCCTTCCCTTTATTTTTTCATCATTCTTGTTGATGTTGAACCCAGGTCGGCCGCGTGCAAGGCAAATGCCCTACCGCTGTGCTATCTCTCCAGCCCCTGCCTTTTGCCTGTTTCGGAGAGCCCGGCAAGCTACCGAGAGTATTGGATATGCCAGACACAGTAACAACAAAGTCTCCAATGGAGACGTTACTGGGCCCGCTCGAGCAAATCGACGATCAACGGGAGGGCCTTGTTGATGTTGTGATGATCAGTTGTTCGCATCATTTTAATGTGGTGCTTGCTGGGATGGTGCAGCAGGTTATGAAGCTTCCACACACTTTGGGGGGGGCAGTTCCATAGTTTCTAGTTGTGATCTTCAGACACATTCTGAACACACACAAATGTGATCACCAGGGATCACACTTCCTGGCAGGGGTGCTTGCACATCTTTTTTTTTTTTTTGCTTTTTTGGTCACACCTGGCGATGCACAGGGGTTCCTCCTGGCTCTGCACTCAGGAGTTACTCCTGGCGGTGCTCAGGGGACCATATGGGATGCTGGGAATCGAACCCGGGTTGGCCGCGTGCAAGGCAAACGCCCTACCCCCTGTGCTATCTCTCCAGCCCCTTGCACATCTTTTTATTTCAGTGTTCGCTGGTGCTCAAAGCCCCTTTTGTGGCTGAAGAATGTCTAGAAATCACTTGGTGTGCAAGCGATCACATGCAACAGAGCTGCCAGGATGAACTAGCAGAGTTCTAGGATTGTGTATAGTACATGTGGTGACACCAGGGATTAAATTTATGATCTTATGCTTTCAAAGAAGGCAAACTTAAGACTGAACTATTTCAGGGCTGGAGCAATAGCACAGCAGGTAGGGTGTTTGCCTTGCACGAGACCCACCCAGGTTCAATTCCCACCATCCCATATGGTCCCCCAAGCCTCTCCAGGAGTAATTCCTGAGTGCATGAGCCAGGAGTAACCCCTGTGCATCGCCCAGTGAGACCCCCCCAAAAAAAAACCTGATTTATTTGGGCCTCTAAATACACTTTATTATTATTATTATTTTGGGGTCACACTAATTAGGATTTTCTCCTGGCTCTGCACTCAGGGATCACTATCAGTAGGCTCAGGAGACTATATGGAATACAGGGATTGAAACTAGTTCGGCTACTTACAAGCATGAGCCCTACCCGCTGTACTGTCTCTTGGGTCCCCTAATTTTTTCTGTTTGCTTTTTTGGGCCACACCCTGCAGTGCTTAGGGGTTATTGTTGGCTCTGCTCAGGGTTCACTCTCAGTGGGGTCCAGGAGACCATATGGAATAGTGGGATTGAACCTGGGTTGGCTGCCTGCAAGGCAAGTGCCCTACCCGCTGTCCTATTGCTCCGACCTTTCTAAATACATTAGCAATTTTAATAATTTCTTGGGTCTCCCAATCACTAATACATTAGCAATTTTAATTTTAATAATTTCTTGGGTCTCCCAATCACTGCTCAGTGGGCTCGGAGGCCTTTTCTGGTGTTTCTCAGTTAGCTGGGCTGGTGATTCAGTACAGGAGCCTGAAAATGCTGTGTTCCTTGGGTCCTACAGTGCTGGGGCTTCTTGGGGTACTCTAGAGATGCTCAGGGTTTACTCCAAACTGTGCTCAGTGTCCCTTCTGGTAGGGTTCAGGGCACCAGATGTGGTGCTGGGAATTGGGCCCAGGTTGGCTGTATGCAAGGCAAACACACTTCCCATTGCACTTTCTCTCCTACCTGGAGAAAGGTTTGAACAGATTCTTTGGATAGTTTTGCAACACCGTGACACTTATAAATGTATTGGCCTTGGTTCATTGTGTTCTTAACTATAAACTGCCATCTTCGTTCTATATATTTGGACTTGATATTTCAACAGAAAGAAAATGAAAGAAGTTTGTGCAGGATATTTAGAAACACAGTCTTTAAATCTTTGTCTTTTAGAGACCGTGTGGCTCATTGACTTCTCTGTAAAAGGAACAATAATCTTTGGGCTGGTGGGGAGGTTATGGCACCTGCCTTCATGTGACTGTGACCACAACATGGTCCAAATCCTCGCACTGCATGTGGTATGAACCTATTAGAGTCAGGTGTAGCCCCGGAGCATGGCCAGGTGTGCCCGCCCTCAAAAAGAGTTAATAAAAGCAATAAAGTCTTTCCGAAAATTAAAAGGAATTTGAGTCACACCTAGCCGTGCTCCGGGACTACTGCTTGTTTGGTACTTGGATGTGACTCTGGGTGGTGCTCAGGGGACCATGAGGTGCTGGAGATTAAATACAAATGCAAAGGCTGAGCTCAACGTGCAAAGGATGAGCTCAACCCTTTGAGCTATGTATCTGACTTGAGCATTAAACACCCTATAAGGATTTTAATTAATTAATTAATTATGGGTCACACCCAGCGATGCTCAGGGATTACTCCTGGCTCTGCATTAAGGAATTAACTCCTGGGAGTATTCAGGAGATCATCTGGGATGCTGGGGATTGAACTCAGGTCAGTTGTATTCAAGGCAAACACTCTACCGGCTATACTATTGCTCCAGTCCCAAGGATGGGATGTTTTGAAACATTAAAAAAAATTAAAAACATTTAAAAATATTTTTTAAATAGCTAAAATTTTTTTAAATCGAGTTGGATGATTAAGAGCATATGCCTAGTGTGAGTAAGCGCCAAGCTTGGTCCCTGGCATTGGGTATTAATTCCTCAGTACTTCCAGATGCAGCCCTTTGCACTCACCCTCACCCCGACACCTCTGGGTGGCCTCTATACGTATTTTTCACTTAATTATGCTCTATTAAGTGCTGGGGATCAAACTCAGGACCTCAGAGATACAAGGTATGTGTTTCATTCACTGAGCCACGGACCCTATAAATTTTTTGTTTGTTTTTGGTCCACACCCAGTGATGCTCAGTGGGTGTGACCCCTGGAAGAGCTTGGGGATCATGAAAAACGTCAGGAATTGAACCAGGGTCAGCAGCATGCGGGACAAGTGCCTAACCTCCTTCACTATCTCTGCCTTATAAATTAAAAAAAAATTATTATATCATGAATTACTGTTTCCTAGAAAGTTGATGTTTCGTGAATGATAGTGATTATTAGAATGTAATTATGATCTTTATTATAAATTAATTATATTTATTATATATTATAAATCAATAAATTAAATTCTAGTTTAATTTTTTTATAAATTAATTAATTTATTATAATTAGTTCTACTTATAATAAAAACTGATTATGTGGGGCCAGAAAGATAGTACAGCTGGTAGGTGCTTGCCTTGCACGTGGATGACCTGGTTTTGATCCCCCACACCCTATAGAGTCCCTAGAGTCTGCCAGGAGTGATCCCTGAGCTCTGCCACATGTAGGCCCAAAGCAAACAAAAACCTGGGCTCTTTTGTGGGCTTTAAATATTCATGTCTTGGGGCTGGAGTGATAGCACAGCAGGTAGGGCGTGTGCCTTGCACGCAGCTGACCCAGGTTCAATTCCCAACATCCCATATGGTCCTCTGAGCACCGCCAGGAATAGTTCCTGAGAACAGAGCCAGGAGTAACCCCTGTGCATCGCCAAGTGTGACCCAAAAAGCAAAAAAAAAAAAAAACAAACCCAAAAATAAATATTTGTCCTTTGAGGGTAAATGGTAAATGCATGGATTGTTTTTTATAATATAAAAATTATAAACTAGAACTTGAGAGAGAATATTCTTGCATTATAGATCACTGACTAGCATGTATTCATTAATGGTTTTAATAAAATTTCTTTGCTTTCTTATTTAGTGTCAAACTGGAAGAGAAGTAAATTTCAATCCGAAATTATGATGTGTGGAGTTCTTTCTTAAAAGAAGAAAAAATAATTGTTCAGACTATGGATCGGAGCAAGCGAAATTCAATTGCTGGATTCCCTCCACGTGTGGAGCGTCTGGAAGATTATGAAGGAGGTGGCGGAGGGGAGGGGAGCATGACCCAAGTGGAAAGAGATGAAACATCTTCATATCGAGCTCTTATGAATGCCTTTTCTCGACTGACTCGGTTAGATGACTTCACATGTGAAAAAATAGGATCTGGTTTCTTCTCTGAAGTGTTTAAGGTGAGTGATACTTTAGCTTTTCTCATCTTGTCTTGCTGATGATCAGGCTTTGCTATGAATTACAGTTGTGTGTAAGGAGGAGGTAATCACTTAATCACTTAACTTCCCGTTAGTCGTCGATTTGCTCGAGCGGGTGCCAGTAACGTCTCCATTTGTCCCTGTCGCGTGCTAGTGTAGCCCAATGGCATCTGTTCGCTCTGGGAACATGAAGAGCCTCAAACCGATCGCTCCTAAATATTGTACTATGTAATTTTTTGTTTGTTTTGGTTATGGTATTTTGACCTCAGCTTAAAGTTCTTTGGGACTACTTCTGGTTTTTTTTTTTTTCTTTTTGGGTCACACCCGGCGATGCACAGGGGTTATTCCTGGCTCATGCACTCAGGAATTACTCCTGGCGGTGCTCGGGGGACCATATGGGATGCTGGGAATCGAACCCGGGTCGGCTGCGTGCAAGGCAAACACCCTACCCGCTGTGCTATCGCTCCAGCCCCTACTTCTGGTTTGTTGTCCTGGCGCCATTCCCAGCTGTTCTTGAGACTGCGTGGTGCTGGGCATCAGATCCAGGCCTCTTACATGCACATGCACACTAGCTCTTTGTGCTACTCCCTGCCTAAAGATTCCATTTTGACTTACACTAAACGTACAGTTCTGTGGCATTAAGTATCGTTCTAACGTTGTATAGCTACCACCACTATTACCCGTTTTCAAAATCTTTTCATTATCTTCAACATAAGCTCTAGACCCACAAAACAATCACTCCCTGTTTGCCTCTTTACCCAGCTACGTTCTCCTATTTTGCCAGACTGTCTTCTACTTTCTGTCTCTATTCATATACCCATCTGAGTTTGTGTGTGTCCTTGTTTTACTTACCATAATGTCCTCACAGTTCATCTATATTGTAGCATCTGTCCAAATTGTATTCCTTTTTTTATGGATAAATAGTATAGCCTTGCTTTATTTTATCATGTGTAAATACTTGTATGTGCTTTGTTTTGGTTTTGAATTCATCTATTGATGGATATGTGTTTTGTTTTCTGGGGGCCACGCCCAGTGGTGCTCAGGGCTTACTCCTGGCTCTGCGCTCAGGCATTATTCCTGGTGGGGCTTGGGAGACCATCTACAGTGCCAGGGGTTAAATGCAGCTTGGCTGGGTCCAAGGCAAATGCCCTAAATGTTGTCTCTCTGGCTCCCTATTGATGGATATCTAGACTATTTTCAGCTTTTGGTTATTGAGAATAATGAGAATAATCCTCTATGTGTTTTGGTACACACACATCTGGGTCTATGTTTCAGTTCTTTCGGGTATTTATCTCTAAGTGGAATTACTGGACATATAGTAATACTCTGTTGTACTATTTTAAAAAGTTGTGATTTTTTTTCTTGCACACGGCTGGCTGACTGGGGTTCAATCCCTGGAATCCCATTTGGTCTCCCTAGCATGACCAGGAGTAGTTTCTGAGTACAGAGCCAGGAGTAACTCCTGAACATCACCAGGTGTGATCTGAAAAATAAAAAAAAGTTGTGATTTTTCCAATTTTTACATAAGATAATTTTCATGGATCAGGGAGATAGCTCAAAGGACTAGAGCAGGTTTAATCTCTGGTGCCACATAGTTCTCTGAGTATCACCAGAAGTGACCCTCAAGGAGAGTCTGTACTAGAAATAGACCCCAAACAACAATCTGGTTTTTTTTTTTCTTTTTGGGTCACAGCCAGCGATGCTCAGTGGTTACTCCTGGCTCGGTTACTCCTGGCTCTGCACTCAGGAATTACTCCTGACGGTGCCCAGGGGACCATATGGGATGCTGGGAATCGAACCCGGGTTGGCTGCGTGCAAGGCAAATGCCCTACCCACTGTGCTATCACTCCAGCCCCCAACAATTTTTGCATGCTGCAATTTTTAGAACTTTTCATCTTGTACAATGGAAACTGTCCATTTAGCAACTCCATTTCTCTCTTTTTTTTTTAGCTCGTGTTAAGTTCTGTTCTGGCTAGATTTTCTAATTTTATTATATTTTTTAGTTTTGGGATCACATGCACTGTGCTCAGGGCTTACTGCAGGCTTTGAGCTGAGTGATCACTCCAGGCGGTGCTTGGGGGAACTGTATATGGTTCTGGGGATCAAACCTCAGTTGGCCGCGTGCAAGTCAAGTACCCTCTGTACCATCTGGCCTCAGTTTTTTCCTTATTCTTTTTTTTTTTCGCATTTGTTTTTCTGTACCAGAGATCGAGTCTGGGGTCTCACACATACAAAAACAAGCTCTACTGCTGAACCACATCTCCGGCTATTTACTCTCTCTCCCTTTCCCTCCCTCCCCCCCTCCCTCCCTCCCTCCCATCCTCCCTCCCTTCCTCTCTTCCATCCATCCTTCCTTCCCTCCCTCCTTCCTTCCTTCCTTCCTTCCTTCCTTCCTTCCTTCCTTCCTTCCTTCCTTCCTTCCATCTTCCTTCCTTCCTTCCTTCCTTCCTTCCTTCCTTCCTTCCATCTTCCTTCCTTCCTTCCTTCCTTCCTTCCTTCCTTCCTTCCTTCCTTCCATCCTCCTTCCTTCCTTCCTTCCTTCCTTCCTTCCTTCCTTCCTTCCTTCCATCTTCCTTCCTTCCTTCCTTCCTTCCTTCCTTCCTTCCTTCCATCCTTCCTTCCTTCCTTCCATCCTTCCTTCCTTCCTTCCTCCCTCCCTCCCTCCCTCCCTCCCTCCCTCCCTCCCTCCTCCCTTCCCTCCCTCCCTCCCTCCTTCACACCCTCTCTTCGTTCCTTCCTTCCTTCCTTCCTTCCTTCCTTCCTTCCTTCCTTTCCTTCTTTCTTTCCTTTCTTTCTCCCTTCCTTTCTTCCTTCCTTCCTCCCTCCCTCCCTCCCTCCCTCCCTCCCTCCCTCCCTCCCTCCCTCCCTTCCTTCCTTCCTTCCTTCCTTCCTTCCTTCCTTCCTTCCTTCCTTCCTTCCTTCCCCTTACGTGGTGATGCTCAAGGCTTGCTTTTGGCTGTGCATTCAGGGATCACTCCTGACGGTGCCCAGGGAACCATATGGAATTCTGGGGACTGAACCTGGATTTGCCACATGCAAGGCAGCATATAATCTGCTGCATCTGCCGCTCTGGTCCATTTTTACTTTTTATTTCTATGAGTTTGAGTACTCTAGATATCTTATGCTCTTAGAAGCATCTAGTGCTGGGGATCGAACCTGGGCCTCACACAAAACTTGTACACTAGTGCATTGAGCTGTCTCATTGGCCCTTATTTTTATTTTTTTTTGTTTTTTTTTGGTCACATGCAGTGGTATTCAGGACTTACTGCTGGCTTCTGTGTTCAGGGCTTACTCCTGGCAGGGCACGGGAGGGTGCCAAGAATAAGAGTGCTAGGAGTTGAACTCGGGTTGGCCACATGCAAGGCAAGTGCCCTACATGTTGTACTAGCTCTCTGGCTCCTATTTTTTGGTTTGTGTCTATTTTTAGAAATTTAGAAATGTTGTGGTAAGAAAACAATCATTGAGAGGGTGGAGTGATGGTACAGTGGGTAGGGTGCTAGTCTTGCACGCATCTATCCCTGGAATTCCAATATGCCCCCCAACCCCCACCTCCCCCGCAGTATGCCAGGAGTGATTCTTGAGCACAGAATGAGGAGTAAGCCCTGAGCACAGCTGACTCAAAGATAAAAACAAGAAAATTGTCATTGGGAAAGAAAATAAGTCTATTTCACATGGAATTACCTGCTGATACACAATTTCTTCTGATAAACTATAGCCTTAGTCCCAAATCCTACCGTTTTTTAAAAAAAAACAGTTTGCCAACCCTTGGTCCAATGTGTTTTTGTAAAGTGCAACATTTTTGTTGTCTGGTTTTGGGACCATCGCGGCTGGTGCTGGGGGCTACTCCCGGCTAGCTGGGCTGGAACCTAGGCCTCCTGCATGCAAAACTTGCACTCCAGTCCTTTGAACTTTCTCTCTGGCCCAGTAAATAGGATCGCTTTGTTTTGTTTTGAGGACACACCCTATACAGTGCTCAGGGCTTACTTCTGGCTCTGACTTCAGAAGGGATCACACTTGACAGGGTTTGGAGAACAAACATGGGGTGCTGGGGGTTGAACCGCGGTTGGTCGCATGCAAGGCAAATGCCCTTCCCAACTTCTATTAAAAAAAAGTTTATTGGAACATAGTCATGCCTATTTTCTAACATATTTCTTGTAGCTGCTGCTGTGAAAATGGCAGAGTCGAGTACCTGCACCAGAGACCATATGTCCTTTATTTGATTTTGTTTTTTAATTTTTTGGGCTTCTTTGGTGGTGCTGAGTGATGCTTTGGTGATGCTGAGAAGAGGCCAATTTACGAGGGGTTTGAGTCCCCTCGGCAGAGGCCAGGGTATACAGGGGGTTAGAGTCCCCTTGGGAGAAGCCAAAGTGAAGGCCAATTCACGGGAGGTTAGAGTCCCCTCGGGAGAGGCCAGAGTAAAGGGGTTCGAGTCCCCTGGATAGACCTGAAGAAAAGTTTTGCCAAGGAACCATCTTTTTCGTAGATTATTTCTTGCAATTAGGAAATATGGGAAATTCTACATCAGTACCTAAACATTCTCCTATGGGTTGCTTCTTAAAACACCAGAGGAGCTTCCAAGTAGGAAGTCTAGATAAGAAATGTCTTGTTGACCTCTGTAACACCACGTGGCCTGAGCATAAGTTAGAATATTGGGAAGGATATAGAGTGATAGCACAGCGGGTAGGGCGTTTGCCTTGCATGCAGCCAAGATGGGCGACCCGAGTTCGATTCCTCCGCCCCTCTCGGAGAGCCCGGCAAGCTACCGAGAGTATTCGATATGCCAGACACAGTAACAACAAAGTCTCCAATGGAGACGTTACTGGGCCCGCTCGAGCAAATCGATGATCAACGGGAGGGCCTTTACTTATACTTTACTTACTTGGTGATGCTTAGGGGTTACTCTTTGTTGTACATTCAGGAATTGCTCCTGACGGTGCACAGGGAACTGTGTGTGTGTGGGATGCCTGGGATTGAATGCAGGT